CGGATGAGAATGCCTAACAATTTCCAAGTCAACATCATAGCATTGGAGTGCTTTAAATGAGTCAAGATTAATAAGGTTATACTTGTAATAATTGACTAAACTCCTTAAAATTAGCTTAGCGCTACAATTGATTGAGTTCATAGAGCTAATTAGGCTTCATATATTGTAGGTCTAGATCTTATGTTCATAGCTTATAGCTCAAATGTTCATAGCTTAGGGGTACAATTGATTGACTTCACCAAAATAATTAGGCTTCATATCCTAATTGGTTGTTATTGTTCCAATCAATTGTCTTATTGTTCATTCTGTGTATTTTGCTATATCCATGTTTTTGTTCCTACCATCTTGTTATCAGAGAGGTTTTGGATTGTTCTATCAAGATCTTTGTTTTGATTATCAACAAGTCAGAAAATTAAAAAACAAAATCGAAAATTCCAAAAATAGAAAGATCGCTGTTCATCCGTTATTGTTACTGTTTTGTGTGTATTCTGCAGAAAAATATCGAATCTTGTTCCCTCTAAGGATTTTTATTCCGAAAATTCTGATTCCTTCATTATCTGAGTTTGATCTGCTGATTTGAGCTGAAAATTCGGAGTTACCATTGAATCTGAGCACAATTTGAACCCCGCCATTGCCGAGCTCATCGAATAAGCTAGGTTTCATTTGAAATCTAAATTTGGGCTCGAAATCGACTAGGTGTAACTGATTCTTGTTCGAGACATTAATACCAAAGCTAAATCGGAAGGATTAGCTTGATTGAAACTGATTTAATAGGGTTTTGGTTCAAAGTTGCTAAGCGGGTTACCGGAGAAGACGACCTAGGGTTCGTTGTTTTCGTGAGTGTCTGAACAAATTGGTTTTGGGGTTTTATTCCAATTGGTGTCGAGAAGTTGTGGCTGAAGCTTGGGGTTTATTTGTTTGAGGATTGCTCGACAATCGAATTTCTGGTGCTGAAGCTCGAAGAACAGCTTCAAATTTCTGGAGTTGAGTGCCTGAAGCTGTTGCGTAGCCTACGCACTCCTCGACGCATCAGGTCTGATTTCTCTATGCTTAAACTTGTGTCATTTTTTGGATTCTGAGGGATTTGTGATTGATTAATCGAATAGAAGACTGAACTTCATTACTATTATTTGGGATCGATCGATTTGAATCCGTGAATTCGACTCACGTAGTTTAAGCTTGATCTTTTTTGAGTATTGAACTGAATTCGTAGTTCGACTTGAGGCTGCCATTGGTTGAAACTATTTGCTGTAAAATTTCTTGGAGATTGTTGAACGGATTTTGTGAGTTCGACTTGATAGTTTCTCTTGTTGTTGGAGTTGTAGTTCATTGCTGTTGGTTGAATTCTGGAATTGGTATTAGACTGAAATACTTGGGACTCATTGTTGGGATTGATTGAGTTTGAATTCATAAGTCGACTCGAAGTTGCTAATGAATTATTTTGTGGAGTATCCTCATAGCTGTTGAATTGAATTTTGTTCTTGAGTTTCCCATACCACTGCACTGTTTGAGTCACAATTTTCTGCCCCTGACAACTGCTAACATTCAGGGACTAGTTAGGATAGTTTGGTTGAGCTCTCTAAATTAGCTGTTGTTTGGTTTAAGTGTTCTGCACAACTGAGCCACAAATTCTACTCTGCTTCTCCTCTATTGAGCTGCTGAAAATCTGCATTTTGTTGGGAAACTTTGTTGCTTCAGTTGCATAGTTTTGTACCAGTTAGCTGCTGATTGTTAGTGACGGTTCTTGAACGTTGTTGCTGAATCAACTTGAAATTGTGAAACCTGCAACTTGCTTTAGAATTTGCGGAACAAGTTGGTTGTTAGCTGATTGATTAAGGTGGTTCTGTTTGAGTTCTGTTGTTGAAGCTAAAAGTTCAGAAAGGTTCTAGGAATCGAATACAATCTTAGTACAGCTGTTTTTCTACACTGATTGAACTTGAAAGAAGCTGCAGACTTGATCAAGTTTCAGCACTGTTCCTGCACTATGGAGCTGTGTTTGGGAGCCAAAGTTAGCTGCTAGTATCTACTGAGAAGGGTCCTCAATTGAACAGTAAATTGAGTCGAAAATCTGCAGTATTTTGAGCAGTAAACCTGCCCTCTTTCTACTCTGTTTGGTTCAAAAATTGCTGACTTTGTTTCTACTATGGACTGAAAGGTTTTGCATCTGTTGTGTGAACATCTGCATATCAATTGCATCAGTTGGTTAAGGTGAAAGGTTGAGCAGAGTATCAATTCCATAAGATTGCAACAAGTCCAGAAGTCAGAATTTCAGCAACTTAGTTTTGTCCAGTTTCTGTCCAACTCCAACTGTTAATCTTTTCCTTCTTCTTTGATAATTCTAAACTAGTGTAAACTTGATATTAGTTCATATTAAGTTTTAACCTAGTTCTTTGTGTGCTTAATTTTGTTTCGTGCCAATTGATTCGTGCTTTTATCTTTTATTATCGTTGTGAATTGTTTGGCTCAAGTCCGTTTGCTTTTAATTGTCCGTCCTTGTGAAAACACAACTGCCACTCCACCCCGAAGATGTCACGACCCCAGTTCGCCCTCCGTGAACTGTCGTGACGGCACCTAGTCCCTACGACTAGGTAAGCCTAACAAGTGCGGAAAAACAATCGAAACCTTGCGGAAATTATAACTTAACCAAGATTTAACAAAAAGGAAAACGAAATGATAAGTGCCACTCGGCACATACAGCACAACATCTCAAACTTCTACAATACTATCTCAAAACCCGAAAACTCACGGAAACACAAGCTGAGGAAAATATAGTAAAAATGCTCTAACTCCGGAATGTCTACATCAACAGTATGATAGAAGGGCTAATACTACAAGATAGAATAAAGATGGAGAATCTTCGGTCTGCGGACGCGACAGATGTACCTCGAAGTCTCCAAAACCTCTCCCTGCCTCAGGGATGGTAAGTCTGTGCAGCAGTACCTGGATCTGCACATGAAAAACATGGGCAGAAAGGGCATGAGTACACCACAGCGGTACTTAGTAAGTGCCAAGCCTAACCTCGGTAGGGTAGTGACGAGGAAGGTCAGGGCCCTACTGAGGTTAAATAAGATACAGGTTTAACAGTGTGAAATGACAGTGTAATTAAATAACACAAGATATAAAGGACAGCAACAACTATTACAAGGCAAGGAAAAACACAGTAAAAGAACATAACTCAACTCCGAGATAAACAACCGGGGATCTCCCAGGATACCGTCCTGTAGTCCCCAAATATAAATATCATGTCTAGTAGATCTCCCGGGTGCAGTCCTGTAGTCCAACTCATAAATGTGCAGGGGATCTCCCGGAATGCAATTCCGTAGTCCCAAAGTAAACATACAGGGTAGCTTCCGGAATACCGTCCCGTAGTCCCAAAGTAAAGTGCAGGGGGATCTCCAAGAATACCGTTCCATAGTCCCAAAGTAAATACATAGCAACAACAAAAAATTCAATCCAATCAAATTCATATCAAGGTGAAGTAGGTAATCCTAACCTAGCATGATTCACGTAGTACAGTTTAAGACAGTTAAGACAGATAGAGCAGTTTAGTCAAGTAGACATGCTTCTCTAAGCTACAACAGGTTTAATGTCCAAACAGTGTAAGCAAGGGAGGAAGAACACAATTCAAGGCTATTTCTAAAGAAAACCGAATTTCCAATAATTAACACAAGTACGCGCTCGTCACCTCACGTACGAGGCATTTCAATTACCACAATATCAATCCTAAGGGGAAAAGTCCCCCACACAAGGTTAAACAAGCCATTTACCTCGAATAAAGCTCAAATCAACTCGAAACCACGCCTTTGCCACGAGTATCCGACTCCAAATGGCCCAAATCTATTAAATTCAATTGCATATTGTAAATAACATCTGAAGCAACTGATTCTACGATTTAATTCAAAGCTAATACGCGATTTTATGTAAAATGACCAAAATGCCCCTCAAGCTAACGTCTCGGAATCGGGTGAAATTTATATTTTCAGAAACCTCGTACTCTCATGAGTCTATACATAACAAGAAACTAAAATCGGAGTCCAAATGACCCCTCAAATCCCCAATTAAAGGTCTCTTAAACTCAAGCCCTAGTTACCCCCTTTTCCCAAATTTCTCACCATTAATTAGGCCTTTAATCAAATAAAAACGAGTTATGAAGTCAAGGACATTACCTCCAAGTGATTTCCTTTTGATTTCCTCAAAACCCCCTCTCAAAAGCTCCAAACCCGGATGAAAATGGTGGAAGAATAGCCAATTTTCGCAAAGGCAACTATTTATATGATCTGCCCAGCTACTTCCGCATTTGCGGCCCTGGGACCGCATCTGCGGACAAATCATCGCATCTGCGACTTTCATTAAATGACCAAGTTTCTGCATCTGCGGTCTTCCACTCGCAGATGCGTTTCCGCTTCTGCGGAAGATCCAGCGCATCTGCGGAACCTGATGGACCAACCAAAATCCGCTTCTGCAGTCTCCTTAGCCGCACCGCAGATGCGAAAATATCAGAAGCAACAAAAATCTGCAATCTCTTAACTTCAAAATCTTGCCGTCAACCATCCGAAATCATCCCGAGGCCCCCGGGACCTCAACCAAAACACCAATAACACCTAATACTTCATTCAAACTTGTACCAATCCTTAAACCACCTAAAACAACATCGGAAACTCGAATTAATCAAGGATTTAAGCCTAAGAACTCCAAACTTCTTCAAAATACGCTTTCGATCAAAAACCTAACCAAATCACGTCCGAATGACCTGAAATTTTACACACACATCCCAAATGACATGACNAGATGCAGCTCTTTGTTTTGATGGTTTTCAGACTATTACCACATTGTATGTTCATCTTAGCCTGTACTATCCTGAAGAAGTAATGAAAGGTGATAAAGTATATTCACCTATTCTGGCTCTCTAGTTCTGTCCCTATTTTATATGATAACGACATGTTAGATTGATGATATTGTTGCCGTAAGAGTTTCTTTTCAGCCAATATTTTTGGGTTATATGTTGGTTTACCTGCTAAAGCTATGCAATGGAGTATTGATACACTTATGAGAAAAGAAAGTGTACATTTATCAGGATTAAGGACTCATAAAGATGCATGTCCTTAGTCGTGTTTCCTCTAGAAGACTGAATATGCTAAAAGAACATACTTCTTCACGAGTTTCTGCTGTTGACTGTTTGACAAGAGGACTTCCTAAGATGTAAAATTTTTAATGTTGCAGGCAGAAGTAAGGAAAAGGGAGGAAAAAGAAGCTGCAGAAGCTTTGAAGCGTGAACAGGAGCTTCGTGAAGCAAAGAGACAACAACAGAGGCTCAACTTTCTGCTATCTCAAACTGAACTTTACGCTATTTCATGCAAAATAAATCAACTTTATCCTCTGAGGCTGTGACTTTAGGTGATGAAATGACAAATGACCAAGAAATGTTGTTAAGTTCCAGTGAAGCTAGACCTGGAGAGGAAGAGGATCCTGAAGAGGCTGAGCTGAGAAAAGAGGCCTTGAAAGCTGCACAGGATGCAGTTTCAAAGCAGAAAATGATGACAAGTGCATTTGATAGTGAATGTCTGAAGCTGCGGCAAGCTGCTGAAATTGAACCCTCCCAGCAAGATGCCGCAGCCGCTAACATAGACTTATTGCATCCGTGAGTTTTTAAGCTCCTCTGAGATATCGTCTTTGTTCTTTTGCTGAGAGATTGTAGTGGCACAAATTTTGTTGCTCCACTCTTTGACGGTACTGACTCGCTGTGTTTCGGTGTACCTTTAGGTCAACCATGCCTGTGGCATCAACAGTACAGACACCAGACATATTCAAGGGTACTCTTAAAGAGTATCAATTGAAAGGCCTCCAGTGGCTTGTAAATTGTTACGAGCAGGTAAGTTGTCATTTTCCTGAAAGTTGATCTTTTTGCTAAGATTTTGCTTGGCTGGCTTATAACATTCAACTTTATCTGTCAGGGTTTAAATGGCATTCTTGCTGATGAGATGGGTCTTGGCAAAACTATCCAGGCCATGGCTTTCTTGGCTCATTTGGCAGAAGTAAGTGATCTAGTTGTTCATGTTTTATTTATCAACTGTCTTGTAGTAAATTATCATATCAAAAATCTTTCTGGCTGAGAAGTCCAGTAACTTGGCTTCTTTGATCTCTGCAGGACAAGAATATATGGGGTCCCTTTTTAGTTGTTGCTCCTGCATCAGTCTTGAACAACTGGGCTGATGAAATTGGTCGTTTCTGCCCTGATCTAAAAACTCTTCCATATTGGGGAGGGTTACAAGAGCGAATGGTACTTCGGAAGAATATTAACCCAAAACGTCTATATCGACGGTAATTTCATTTGGCTTTGGTTATTACTATACATAATACAGGAGTAGTGGACTTGCCTACACTTTTGGTTCTTTCATGTCTCCCTCATTTCTTGAATTTGCTTTCTCTTTTTGATGAGGCAATATCATTATGGCATCAAGTAGATCCAAATAGCACAAAAGATAGTAAATTCAAAAGTGTGTTTGTTAGCTCCATATGGAGTTCTTGGAAAGTTAGTAGGTCCGTCAGGAAGATCTGGAAAGTGATTCCCTGCCTATATTTTTTGGTGTATTTGGACAGAAAGGAATTGAAGATGTTTTGATGGAATATCAACTCCTAATCCACACTCTCAAGGCTAATTGTCTTTTATTTTTATATAGCTGGAGTAATCTCTTTCCTTTAAACTCCACTGATAAGTTTTTGGATGAGGCAATATCATTAATGGAATCAAGTAGATCCATCTATTACCAAATGCCATTTTCCTTAGCATTGTGATGAAGAATTGCCAGTTGAGTTGATTAAAGGCCTTCTCTATGTCCAACTTAAAAATATCTATTATTTTTAAGAATTTGTAATTTTTTGTTAATTTTATTTCATATCATAAAAATATGTTATGAATATACTATTTTCTATTATTTTAAAAAGTTTATCTTCGTTGTTATACACGCGCGTCGCGCGTACGCTATAACTAGTATAAGATATGTTGGCAACTGTCAATGTAATAAGCTATAATAGCACTTTAATCAATTCAAATGTCAGATTTAACTTTTCAGAAAGTAATGTTAGAAATGTTACAGTAATAGGCCAACATTAGAGTATAAGCCATTAAGGCTATTTAATAGCTATGCCAAACTTCAGTTACAAATTATATATAAGTGGTTTAGGGTGGACGAACACTGCATCTGACAATGGTACAAAAAGTAATAAAAGTTGTACGAAGCTATGGATCTTCATGACGCGTGTACTATATTAAGCAAACACGTGTACTTTTTAAATTTGAAACATTCCTAACCCCTTTACCAATTTACCTAATCCCTTCGATTTTTCTCTGCTTCTCCTGCTTCCCCTCTCTCTCACACACATGTTGGAGCTTGCAGATGAATATAGCAGCATTGTTAAGTGTTTTTCTTCAAAGGCTTTAATGTGGCTGATCTCATCTACTGAAAGGGTCAAACCATATCCAATACTCCTACATACAGAATCATCTACCTCTATCTATCTGTGATAATAGAAAGTTTGGTTTGGGTCTTTTTGATTCTTTCACTCTTCGTATCAGTGGATTTAGTTTCTCAAACTAAATATTTTTTCCTTGAGTTTTACAGTGTCCTTGTGTGTATTTTGTCTTTGGTGATTTTCTATTGTTTGTTTGCTCTTTTCCATTTTGTTATATCTGCCTTTTCTAATGTACTCAAATTTGTTCATTGTTTTGTTTATTTATCCTTTAGGGTTTCTGTGCACAGATAGGCGAAATAGATTCAAAAAGCTTGAAAATGGAGGAAGAGAAGATTTCCGAGTTCCGCTAAATTTTCCTCTATTCTTTCTTGGTGAGCAGTAAATCTTTTCTTCTATTTTTTTTATAGAATATTGATTTAGAATTTTCATTTTTCTGTAAAGTTATTTTTTAATTTGTGCTTTATTTTTCTTCTTAATTCAATTTATAAGATTTTGAATTGTTGATTTACATGTAGTTTTCCTCTTTTTATCAAAATTGTTTTGGGTGGGTTCTGTGTGTCCATGTGGTTATTTTGTTCAAACTCTTCTATGAATTCTTTTTCGCAGGTAAACAAACTGTAACAACGCTAAGCACATTGAATTTCCTCTGGACAAAAACTTCTACTTAAAAGGGAAGAACAACTAAGGTGCTTGACGATATGCTGAAATAACTAAATAATTTCATATTCCATATTTCTTCTTCTGTAGGTGATTTATGATATAAACATCTATCCTTAGAACACAAACATAGGACGTTTGGAAAATGTTTTGGTAACTATACATATGGCATTGAAAATGCAGCATACCCTTTAAAGGGGATGTCTTTTCAAATTCATTTGTATAAGAAAAAGCAAAGCTTTTCGAGAGAAGGGAATTAATGTGGATAATTCTTTCACGGTGCCCTACATTTTGACAATGCTGCATTACTAGTGTCGTTTCATCGGAAATTCATCATTAATTGAAAGCTTTCATTCTATCTCTGTCTGGAGATCTATTTAAACACTAAGGAATAGATAATTAATTTCATTAATTCTCTCTCCGTCTCATTTGACGACTAGGTCAGTAGAAATCTGTATCAATACAATCCTTCTTATGTGTTTGTCAACCTATTGATGATTAGATGCAGTACTTGTGATATCTGTGATATTTGAGCTTCTTGATTCCCTCTCTATTTCCATTGCATAATTAAAATATGATATTTCCGGTTTGGTTGTTCTTTATGTTATGTGGCTTCTGAAACTAAGTAGTTTTATTATCTATTGTTAGTGTAGGAGATGGATTCATTCACTGACCCCTGCGATTTATGAGGTATTACTGTGTTCTGTTGTCTTTTAGATGCATGATCTGCTTGATAGTAAACTACATGCAGCTCATATTAAGAGGGAAGAGAATGAATTTTTGCTTCCTCAATAAACTAAGAATTTTTTTCAGGTTACCCTTATTTTGATAGCGATGGCCAAGATATTTCATTTACTGAAATTCATATACTTATAATGTATATAATAAAAGGAGTGGACGATATATATTGGTTTTGGGCACATTGATGTATTGTTCATGAGGAAAATGACTGCAAGAAGATATGAGTGAACTTCTTTAGGCAAATAATTATCTTTTTATATTTATGTAATAATGTGCTCTACTCTTCTCTGTAGTCTCAACCAACTAAGATCCCTTAAGCAACGTATGTCTCATTCATATTTGTTAACGTCAACAACAGTACCTCTAGCTCGATAATACAAAAACCCCCTTAAATAAGCATTAATATAGGGCAATATCCATTATATTGTTAATTTGTTTCAATCTTTCTTCACCGTATTTTCTTTTTATCATGACTTTCACTTATTCTTGATCAAATGAGAAACAAATTAAATGGTTGAAAAACTAACTACACTATATTAAATATGACCGGGAAAGCTACACTTGTGAAGGACATTGTTGCCACTATATATATATATATATGCCAAATCATGTGTTGCAATTGTACTCACTCCCTAAGCCTGTCACAAATAGCACTGATAAAATTCAATTTTTTTTATAATATATGGGAATGCTATTGTTGACAAGAAGAAGTGTTGCCTCCTAATTCCTATACTGCGATATTATTACCAAGTCTAAAAATGAGGGAGGACTACGCTTATATAAGAGACCTTAATGAAAAACAATTCCTTGGTGGCATCTTTGGCCTGGAGGCTAAACATTACTCTCTACCAACAAAACCTAGATTCTCAAGGATTATCATAGCAGGAAGTTTATTGCCTCCATGTTTGTTGGGTTTTATTAATTAAAACAAAAGAGGTGTGAATGGAAAATGGTGGGATAAGAAATGAAGGGAAATAAAATTTTGAATTAGTCCTTTTTACTAAGGAACTTTGTCCCTCATTGGATAGGAATAGGAAATTCTTGTGCTTATATAGAGAAGCACTTCTTCTGGCTCTTAAAGAGTTGAGAAGAGAGCAAGTCTCGCACCGTCGTCACTTGACTCGGCTTCGGCTTCGGCCAACGGTCAATTTCGCGACCAACCATTTCGTTTAACAAAAATTCTGTCGAATAGATACCACACAAGAAAATTGTGGCGTCGGAATTTTTCTGTTTTGTTTTCTTAAACTAACGTTTTTCTAGTTTTTTGGTTTTGAATACAAAGTGGTAACAATGTTTTTAGAGATGAATTCATGATTTGGAGTTTATAAGTTTTTATGGCGACTTCAGTTTAATATACAATAATCATTGGATTCCAATTAAATATATATTTATAGATATTTAGACGTGGATTTTGGATCCGTGTTCGGAAAATATCAGAAGGGGCTGGAAGTTAAATTTGGCAAGAAGGATCTAATTAATATATCGTCGGGGATGGCACTATAATTGGATAAAACACTCCCCACAATGATTGATGCATCTCCAGTAATAATTTGCAAGGTGTGTGGTACGTACTGCCTCTGAAACAATTTATTGAATACATTGCACCGAGTGCAAATTAATGTGCAACCAACTAGTGAAAAATAATGTTCGGTACCCGCCCATATTTACGAAGTCTGCCGATATGTTTATACTTCTTGCCTTTCCAGCAAAGTTGATAAAAACTTTACAAAGTTAGTCATCGGTACATGTTATGATGTTGGAGCTTAGTTCTTATGATGATACCAATCTACCAATAAAAGGACAAGTGATGTGAATAGGAGTTGAGCTTTGTGTAAATACCAATTTTCATAGAACATTGAAAATTCTTATGTGCTAATCATAGGAGACGTTTTGAGTAGAGTCGTCCTTTCAGAAGCACCTTGAGCGATATTTAGGAACTTGTAAAACTTTAAATATTTTCACCAATAAAAAAAATTTCAAATATTAAAATAACAAGGTACTTTAATTTTAATTATGTGATTTGATAGAAAATTAGTTGTGACATTCAAGTGGGCTATATGAAGACCTTGTTGGGTTGGACTTATCCTTCGATGGGTAATACGTAAGACTCAACATAATAATTTTAACATCTTGCTGAAAGGATTGGGCTGGATTTACTCATGTGTTATTTTATCCCTCACAATTGAGCAATTTTACTTACATCCCCCTAGTATTCTTGAACTGAGTTTTGCTCTTCTTTGCATTGTGTTTCCTCGAAATCGGTCCTTCTTCAGTATTTCTCAGTGAGCTCTCTTTCTTTTCTTATTGTAAACCTTTTTCTTATCAGTTTTTTTTTTTCTGAAATTTTGATGGGTATTCTCTACCGAGATGGTTGGAACGAGTAATGGTACATAGATTCCTCTTCCTTTTTCTATGTTGATAATTTTGTTTAATGGTATTTTTCTTGTTGATTCGAAAAAAATTTGTATCGTTATTTGCATATCATTTTCACTTCTTCTTATAGTTTGACGTTTCGTGAATTTTGTATTTGTTAGGAGACTCAGGACTATGAAATGGCTGTTCAATGTTACTGCATGCGAGTGTATTGCTATTTTTTGCTCATAGTTTATTTGAATTGTTATTGAATATTGTACGCTCCAAATTTATGTTGTAGTTTTCAGTGTAAAACCTCGAATGCTAGAATTGCAGGGAATTTTCTCGCATAATAGTTGCTCAAATCTTGTGCGGCTTACAGTAGTTTAGACTTTAGATTTGTATGTCAACCGGTGCTTAATAGGAATCTTCGGTTTATTCTTGCATTAATTTATATTCATAATATTTTTTAGATCTTACTTTTCTAAAACTTCTGTTTCATGTGCTCATATTGATACATGGCGGATGAGCATGCCTCACTATTTCCAAGTCAACATCATAACATTGGAGTGCTTTAAAGGAGCCAAGATCAAGAAGGCTATACTTGTAATAATTGACTAAGCTCCTTAGATTAAACTTAAGGGTATTTTGGTCATTTGTAGCCAAATAACTACTCTTGTATAAATAGCCCTTAAGGCTTATATATTAGGTAGATTTGATGAATGATAAACTTGAAGACATGCAAGTCTCACCATTTATCCTTATCTTTTAATTAATGCATTTATGTTTATGTCTTTAATTTCTTTATTGATTTCATTAGTGTTAAATTAGTCTTAGTTGGTGAGCAATTAGTAGTGAATGCTTAATTGCTTAATTACTTTATCCGGGTTTTCAAGAGTTGCCAATCTCTTGAAGGTTTCATAGCTTAGGGTTATAATTGATTGAGTTCATAGAGGTAATTTGGCTTCATATCCTAATTGGTTCTTGTTCTTCCAATCAATTGCGGGTCTAGCTTTTATGTTCATAGCTTAGGGTTACAATTGATTGAGTTCATAGAGGTAATTAGGTTTCTTATTCTAATTGGTTCTTGTTCTTCCAATTAATTGTAGGTGTAGCTCTTATTTTTAATTCCGCGTGTTTTGCTATATCCGTGTTTTCGATACGATTCCGTATCATCTTGGTATCAGAGCCGAGGTTTTGGATTGTTCTATCAATCCTCGGGTTTTTGTTTTGATTATCAACAAATCTGAAGAAAAAAAATAATAATAGTAAGAAAAATTACCAAAAAAGGAGTGTTTACTCTTCATTCGACTGGCTTGTGACTAAAACAGAAATCGTATGCCTCGTTCATCACTTATCAAAGCCGAGGTTTTGGATTGTTCTATCAATCCTTGGGTCTTTGTTTTGTTTATCAACAAATCTGAAAATCAAAAAAAAAAAATAATACTCCCTTCGTTCCAATTTATGTGAACCTGTTTGACAGGGCACGGAGTTTAAGAAAAAAATGAAGACTTTTGGAATTTATGGTCCTAAACAAGTCCAAATGGGGCGCACAGCATTTGTGTGGTTATAAAAGTCTCTCACTAAGGGTAGAGTTGTAAGTGTAAGCTAAATTGTTACCAAATTTAGAAAGGGTTCATTCTTTTTTGAACGGACCAAAAAACGGAGGGAGTAATAATAATACTCCCTCCGGTCCAAAATAAGTGATTTTTTGACTTTTTTCTTGTGGTCCAAAATAAGTGATTTTTCCAGATTTCAAGAATGAATTAATTATTTTTTCCCTACATTGTCCTTGTAGTAATTAATGTTGGAGTATGTGTTAGGAGTGTTTATGTGAAGAGATAGTAAAGGTTAATATGATCAATTTAATTGATAATTAATGTTAAAAGGTGAATTTCTTAATATGTGTGAAAAACCCCAAAAAATCACTTATTTTGGACAGGAGGGAGTAAGAAAAATTACCAAAAAAGGAATGTTTACTGTCCATGCGATTGGTTTGTGACTAAAAACAGAAATCGTATGCCTCGTTCATCACCGTTTCATTTAGAAACTTGAAACTTTGATTTCCTTGTTCTCGTTGTCGATTCTGGTTCTGAAATTTGTGATTTCTTCATTTTATGAGATTGAATTACTGATTGATCTCGGATGCGAAGATTTGAACCCAGAATTTACAATCAGCTGAACCGAAAAAAGAAGAAGCTAGGGTTGGTTTTGATTCTGAAAAAAAATTGGAGGTTCAAAATCGATTGGGTGTTCGAGATTTTTAGTTGGAAACACTGAAACGAAGTGAAATCTGAAGATTGAGCTCGATTTGAACTGATTTTCAGGGTTTTTAGAGTTCGAAAATTGTCGTAACGAGTTTTTTTTGAGGAAGTAAGACCGACTGAGTCATTCAGTTTTGGTGGCTGTCCTTAACAAATTAGCTACTGGGGTTTGATTATAGGGCTGTTGTGAAGCTTGTACTGAGACTTTGAGATGGTTNNGGGGGGGGGAAGTATTAAAAGCTAAATGTATCTTTCTGCTTCTTTCTTTCTATGTATTTGCTGAATTTTGATGCAGCTGAATAGACTGAAAACTTATATGGAAGTTAAGTACTTCTTTTCAAAGTCGACTTGCATTTGTACCTGCTTGACTTGCTAGATATATTGTTCTTAACAAAATTAAAACACCTGGAAAAACAGGTGCTCAGATATAGCCAGAATAGAAGCATTTTATCTTTTGACAAGTAAAATGGTGTGCGAGGTGAAAGACACTTTAGCTCTCAACCTTAGAGTCACTCTCTATGACCTTCAATACTTTTATAAGCTAATCATCAATCGTCCTCTCTGTTAGTTTTGGCTTTCCTTAGATCTTTTCATTATCAAAAGTTAAGGGGTTGCAAAATAATATGTTATAAAAAATTACATGTGGAAAATGAATGGAATAGAAAACTGTTCAATTGTTCCAAGCATATCTTCAAACATCTTGGATATCTCAACACTATCAGTTGTATCTAGTTGA